ACCTATATGGTCCTGCATGTGCTGGCCTCTGCCTTCTCTAAAGTTCTTTCAAACTCTCCCCTCAATCACTCCACCCCAGATACACTGGGTATTCTGGCCGTGTTTTGAACAAGACAAGCTTCTTACATTTGCCATTCTCTGCATGTTCCCCCAGAATTTCCATGCCCCATCTCTCACTTCATTCAAGCTTCTGCTCAAATGTCACCTCTTCAAAGAGGCCTTCCCAGGCACCCTGTGTAAATCAGCTGTACCCATTATGGAGAAGAGAAATAAAGAATCAGGGGACTGGCTGTCACAAGACTGAGAAATGAGTATCTAGTGTAAAGACGAGCGATATTTTGAGTGAGCAAGACTGCAGTGTTAATACTAAAAGATGTCCCCTTCCTAAGAGCCCAAAGTTTTAAAACTCAAAGAGAAAGGAATTTGACATTATCATTTCCACAGAATGCTCCCACAAGGCCACAGTATTTATTACTATTGGGTTGTTGGAAAAGTCATGACGCATTTTTGCAACGAAAAACATAGAAAAATATGTCATGACTTTTCTGACAACCCAATATTTTCCAGAATATAAAGCAGAGCGAGGAAGATGTGTTAACTGGTCAGAATAAAGTAATGACTTGATCCAAAAGTCTGAGTGAGACTATGACTCAACCAAAGACACTTGAAGGTTTCCGCTTCCGTGATGGCTGAAGAAGCTCCTGCCAGACCCCATCCTCCTACAGATGGCAACTCCAAACTCTGGACAAAAATATCAAACAAACAAACAAACAAAACCAACTACCTGAAGGCACTAGACAGTGAACAGAGGTGGCAAGTTATAGATGGGGGGCTGAAATTTAGGATAGTTCCTAACATGGGGAGAATCACTATTGCTTTTACCTTGAGAGTAGGCCAGAGTTGGTACCACAAAGGACAGTTTAAACTCACATACACCCAAGTCTTTCTAGCCTGGGGAATAAGATGGAAGATTTTGGGGCAACCACCGCCCCTTGGAAAGAAAGGAGATTCCAGAAAGGAGAGAGCCAGGTAGGGGGCAGCTCCAAGTTCTGTGTACAAACTGCCCAGTCTCTGGCCCACTCCTCTAAACCACACATACTTGGGTAAGCAGACCAGCTAAAGTCTAAACTAATTGCCTGTTAAAACTAAAATATCAATACTTTTCAGGAAATAAAACAAAATCCAGTCTTCACAACATAATATTCACAATATATAGGGTTTAATACAAAGTTGTCTAATGTACAAAAAACCAGGAAAACATGACTCAGTCCTCAAGAAAAAAGAAAATCAATTAAAATAAATCCCCAAATGACCTATATGTTGGAATTAGCCATTAAAATAGACAAAGATGTTAAAGTAGTTATCATAACTACGCTCAATGAATACTCAAAATAAAAAGGGGGAATCTCAGCAGAGAAACAAACTACTATTAAAAAAAAAAAAAGGAAATTTTATAACTCGAAAATACCATATCTAAAATTTCAAACTGACTAAACTAGCTTAAATGACTAGCTTAACAGTAGATACAAAAGTCAGTGACGTTGATGATAAGAGCAACAGAAATTATTGAAACTTGAGGAGAAAAAAAGATTTTTAAAAATGAACAGAGCCACTGAGAACTGTGGGGCATCAGAATGTCTAATATGCATATAATGGAGTCCCCAAAGGAGAGGAGGGAGAAGAGGGAAAGGCAAGTGGCAGGAAAAAATATCTAAATGATGAATAAAAATGTCCCAAAATATGATGAAAAACATAAACTGACAGACTGAAGCAACTTAGTGAACGCCAACAAGAATACAAATCAAAGAGAACCATGCCAAGGCATATCATACTCAAACTGCTGAAAACCAAATAGAAGGAAAAAACCTTGAAAGCAGCCAGAGAAAAACAACACATTACATACAGGGAAACAAAAATTTGAAAACCACTGATATCTTGTCAGAAACTATGGAGGCCTGGAAACAGTAGAACATCTTCAAGATGAATGAAAGTGATAGTCCCATCCCCACGCTATGAAGGGTGTTTTTCAAGACTAGCCTTCAAATCCCTTGACACAATACTACTCCCCATTTTCTTCCATTAGACAGTCTTTATTGTTACACTCTAGGAGCTAAGAAACCTGATTCAACTGTTTGCAAAATGGGCAAGAGACAGACAGCAAGCAGTCACCTACCATCACCACCTCTGTTCAGAAGCCACACACCATTTAGATGAGACATCTACTTCAGCTGGTGGCACTACCCCGTTCTCTGAGTGGAATCCTGTCACTCTGCCCTATCCCATTGGAACCGAAATTCTCTTTACATAAAGCATTTGGGGCAGGAGTATCCAGGAATGGTGGCAGTGAAGGACCACATTTACTCTAAGCCAGATCCGATGTGTTTCCCCTTTGTTATGTAAGTAACAGTAAAGAACGTGGAATTTTAATATATGAGCATAAATCCCAGTACGTATGCCTAAGACAGTCTCCCTCTACTCAAACACCTAGGGCTCAACAGATTTCATAGCCCACAAGTATCCCGCATTTATTCCTACGGCTCACATGAAAATCAGGGCATAAGAGAAGCACAACTGCCCAGCAGTTTCTGGAATGGCATGTGGGTTACTGGGTTGATTCATTCAGCTAATATGCCCATTTCAAAACATTTTCCCTCAAGGGCTGAAATCTGAGAGATTGCCTGGGAACCGACCTGCTGCTAATTTGATAAAGACCTGTTAACTATAATGTAATGGATAGGGTACGTCTGCATCCTAGGTGGAAAAACCACTCTGAGATGTCTCATAATAGCACCATTTTTCCACAGGAGAGCTGCCCGTCTCGCTTAGCCCTGATATCTGGGTAGTGTTGGCTCTCTGCCCAAGAGGTCAGCAATTCTGCTGCCCAGAAAACCTGCCTGTCTTAAACAGAAAGCATAGTCAAAATATTTAGAAAATGGAGTGAAATGCTCTAGTTTGAAACTGTTTCCTCTTTTTCAAAGAACTAGGAAAAAACTTGTATCACTAATATAAGTAAGTTATTCAAAATAGCCCCCATTTGGAAAGTTTCTGGCATTTTCCCTCTAGGCATTGTATTATTGCAATGAACTGCCCAGTAATCAAAGAGAACTACTTATTTCCCACCAGAGTTAAAAGAAAGGATTAGCTCTGGTAAGTTCTCGGACGAATTTCAGTCATTGTTAAGTGGGGTGGCATCAGCTTCTCTACATCCCTATCAAATTCAAAGAAAATTCAGGAAAAATGGAAAACAAAGGCTGCTTTATTATTCTATTTGAGCAGCATCTACCTTTCACAGAACACTTTTTTTTTTAATTTCAATTACATTCAGAAAGTTGTAACTGAGAAAGAAAAAAAGTGAAGCTTACTTAGGAAGAAGTCTACAAAGAAATCTCCCCATTTACAACACTTTTCTTGATATACAAGATAAATTCTGGGATCAAAAGCTTTTATGCAGTCTTTGAATCACCTCAGAGTATAAATTCAACTAAACGAAATACAAGAAAAGATTAGCCGCAGTCGTGAGCAAGTAGCAGCAGGAAGAAAGAAAATTTAAAACAAAGATTTATACAGGAAAAAGCAGGCGGTAACAGCTATGACACAAAGGGAAATTACAAAGAGGATACAAGAAGGCTTTATGGGTGAAGAGAGCTAAAGCTGTCCGTCACACAGGCGGAACAGCCATACTGTCTCCCATTTCCATTGACATGAAGGGATAAACAGAGTCAGGTAGTGACTGGACACCTTTCTAGATTCCGTACTTCTAGTATCTTACAGTAGATTCCTCTTTAATCATGAAGTCAAAGAATTAATTAACTTAGCAAAACCCACAAAATGACTATTTAATCCCAGGTCTATATCTCTCTCCAAAACTCTTACTTTTCTATTACACCATGCTGCCGCTTGGAAAATATTTCACAAGCATTCGTTCCTCTATGAAATAAAATTTTTGAAAAACTGGTCTAGCCCGAATATTCCCCTTCCAGACAGATTCTTCCTAAAAACTACACTAATATTCTTAAGCAAGCTTCTAGCAATGCATGGCCCATTCAGACCTCTGCCTTCTTTGCTACCTTTTTCTAGAAAATACCTATGTTGTAGGGTAAGTAGTTGGTTTAAGACTTGCTTTAAGGCCTCACATTGAAGAGAAATGGGTTATCTCCTTCTAGACTGTCAAATTTACATCAGAAGGTGGATAAATAAAAGTACTCAGAACTAAAGCCCTATCCTGCAGAGTTGGCTATATTTTCCTATAAAATACAGTATCCTGACCATGACAGATGGAATAATGAATGAGAAAGAACCTGCAAGAGACTTCAGAAAAGGTTCAGGATCTCCACTTCCCAAGTATGAAACCCTGACTCCAGTCTTCCAAAAGACTTCTGTAATATACTAGTAAATGACACAGGTCTTCTTCCTAAATGCTTTGGAAGGTGATTAAAACTGCAGCTTCTGGAATCAGACATACCAAAGCTCAGCTCCTCCATTACTAATCATGACCTTGGCCAAAATAATTAACCTCTCTAAGCCTCAGTTTCCAGAGATACAAAATGAAGAAATCACAAAAGATAATAAGTTCTATAAAGGCTAAATTATAGTGCTTAGATCATAAGTGCTTCTTAAATGTTAGCTTTTCATCATTTGCATCATCAACATGTTTGTTATGATACAGAAGTCTATGGGGTAACTGACAGGGTTTCATAAACCTTCCTGGGGCCAGTATCAATTTCAGTTTTGGAGAGTCTTAGAAGATTTCGGGAGTAGCAAAGATGAAACTGGCAAGGCCTGAAAGGACTGAAAAAGCAGCAAGCCGAAATTCATGGGGAAAGACTCTGTACAGGTTAAAACAAAAAAGTGTGTGTGTTTATATATATAAATATATGTATACTATCTATATATGGGGGGGAGGGAGGTATATATCTATACATCTACACATCTATATAGAAAAGATATTAAGAATGAAATCTAGCTCAGGCAGTGAAACAAACTGCTCGTTTTGCTATTACCATGATGGGGACGCCAATGTCAGGCCACAGAAGGTCCTCCGATGGTAGCTTGGGAGAATTCCACACCACCACCACCTTGTTCAGGTACGGGAGGCCATTCAATCTCTCTAAAGAGTTCATAAGCACTTCCTCCCGCTCATAAGTCAACATCACTACCGTGAACTGCTCTCGTGGAACATTGCCTCCAAGTGCTGCCTGAAACTCCTTGCCAGAACCCCCGGCGCCACCACCAATCGGCCGAAATCCAGTCCCTGAGCCCAAGAATTTGGCCTCTGAGGGCAACACAGGGTCAAAGGGTGTGTGGGGGAAAAGATGGAAAGGCCCCGGAGCAGAATTCCAGCTGCGGTAAAAGTCAGTGACAGTCAAAGTGAAGTTGCGGAGGTATCTGGGTGAGGCATAAGGCGGCTCAGTTTCCACTGGCCCCAGGTCCAGGTCCCCATTGTCGGCCATGTTGGGGTCGGTCCCCGCCGCCTTGCCTGAACGGTGGGGGATCTCAGCTGCCGCCTCCTCCTGGATGGGAGCCGCTGGGATCTGTATGCGAGTCCTAATCATAGCCAGCACGGTATTGAAAATACTGTCGGCGGTCGAGAAATAAGTCTCCCAGAGAAAGCGGCCTTGCCGCCTCATAGCTAGCAGGTCACTGTCCGAGAGGCTGCGTAACAGGAAGTGGACCTCGGTGACCCGCGGCTTGGGCACCACCAGGGCTGCCTCGTTCCACTGCAGCATGTCCTGGTAGGGAAGCTGTACTTGCTCACCCAGCACAACTGGGACAGCACCGACTTCCAGGGCCTCGAAGAGCCGGGTTGCACACCCAGAGGAAATAAGCAAGCGCGGGTCCCCAGGAGTGATAATGAGGGCAAAGGTGGAGAGCTTCAGTAACTCTAAGCGGTCCTCCCGCTCCCCACACAGGGCCCACTCAGTAGGCAGGCTGGCTTTCGGCGGGTTTTTGCAGGTAAATTCTACCAGGACCTGATCTAGCTTGCTGTCCTGTACAGCCTTTAGGGTGGCAATGATACGATCATCATAGTCAGCTGGAGGGTCACCCTCCATTTCTTCTTCAAAGGAGCGGGCCTCCTGAAGGCTGGATCGCAGTGATTCAATCTTCTCACCCTGGAAGGTGAAGAGATACTTCCGCTTGACTGGCACCTGCGGGGGGATTTCCATGAAGTTGGGCTCCGACATGGCGTGGACTAGCGGCGATACCACCAAGTCAAAGCCAGGTCTGTACTGGGCAGCGTAGAAAGTTGACTGGGCCACCATGGCACGGCCTGTGCTGACATTATAGAGCAAGTTCTGCGTATCTGACTTCCGCGACAGGTTGATGATAACGTGGTTGTGTCCATCTGTCCGCCAGTACGGTAGAGAATACAACTGCTTCTCGAGTTCAGCAGGCCGCAGCACTACTGGCTCCTGCATTTCTCCCACTAACATCACGTAGAGGCAGGCAATGTCCGCATTTTCCGTAACATAAACGTTGGCTCGTGCTGTGGCCTGAAAAGCCTGCTTGACCAAGGGATCCAGGTAGCTGCCAAAGGCAAACTGGTCACTGTCATAAACGTAGACTGGAAAACCAGAGGTAAGAGGGCAACGAGAATAATCGAAACAATTGTGCAGCCGGCAACCCCGTATGGCCTTTGGGGGAGGAAGGCCAGCGTCGTCCTTGTCTGGGAGCAATCGGATAGGCAGAGAAAGTTTGGGCTGATTCTGGGCCATCAGCTCCTTGTAAGAATGCTCAGTCTGGCTAATGACATTCTTAAGCTGAAGCAGGTCCTGCTTGGCATTTTCAATACTCTTCTTACAGGCTTCAATCTTCAGGTTCAGCTTAGCGATTTCACTGTTCAGCTCTTGACGCTTAGCTTCCAGCTGCAAGAGCTCTTCGCTTACAGACTCACGAATTCGGCAAAGATCCAGCACGTGCTTTACCTCGCACAGCTCATTACCGGCCCGTGGGCCAAAAATCCGCTTGCCGGCCTCATCGGCCTCATCCAGGGTGGTGAGATAATAGTGAGCAATGAGGGGGAAGAAAACCAGAATGATGAAGAGCGTAAAACTGAGCCACGTGAGTCGGATACGGTTGGACCAGCGTAACATACAGGTCTGACCTCCATTCCCCACTCCCCCATTCCGCAACATGGTATATCCTGTCATGAGTTCCTTTGTGGCTCTGGCCCCCTCTGATCACGGTGGGTCACTCGCCATAACCATGGGTGTCTATTAGACAAAATTCAATCTCTTTTCACTCGCACGTTTCCATAAGAGTTAGTGTGCTCCCTGTACAAGGCACCAAATAAAACGGAAATTTCATTTTCCTCAGCTGTAATTAAAATGGTCTCTGACCCTATTCCAGCAGACTTTTTTAAGTTCTGGTTGTTGACCAAAGAACATGTCCTTAATCTTTATTAAATGGTAAAAGGTACGACACTGTTGATGAGATGAAAAGGAGGAGGTCCCTGATGATGAAACCCAGGAAAAATAACCTGGAATTGGATAGACTTTTTCAACTGCCATAGCTCTTGCTCCTTGGTTTTGCTGACCAACACATATGCATAGTTACTATTCACAGTTATAGAGGAGCCTGTTAGGACCGAGCTAAATGCCAGCCTGTTACCGATGTCATTGCCAACAATCAAGCCTGCAAAAGAAAGAGAGCCGTGTCAGTCTTGAAGAGATTATGGTCAACAGCCTTGCCCTCCCCCAGTACATTTCTAGAAAATGTGTAAATCTTCTGAGATGGAACAATGGCTGGGACACTGGCTGTGTCTCACAGAACATTTTAAGTCCAATGTAGGTTTTGTTTGGTATGGGTATTTTATTTGTGATTAATAAGAAGCGGATAAGGATTAAGTGTCCAAAACCAGCTTCAGTTTTTACACACACACACTCACCCTTCTTTCTATTAAACTGGATATGGGGCAGCATTAGAGCCCTATAAAATGATGGATCAACTACAGTCAATAGAGGGCAACGATGTTTGCAACAATTTGTTATTCTAGACTTGGGCATCATCTTTTAGATGAGGAGAAGCACATCCTTGCAGCTATGTTCATTCATAACATGAAAGTCCCCTTTTGAACTGCTGAAAAAAAAGACTCTGTAAGAAGCTCAATTTTTTAAATTCAGAGTTGAAAAGAGCTGAATAGAATTCTTTTGAGCTTTACCCAGTAATAAATGCAATAATCCAGAGACAAAATGTATTTTTCAGTTTGCTTCTCATTTATCTTCTGTTAGGAGACATTGTGTGCTCTTTCTTAAAATAAAAATAGTAACTTGGTCTTTTAGGAAGAATGCTTAGAAATGAGGGGCATTATTTTTTATCCTTTGGAGACAGGTTTGCTATCACACCTTATGCCTCAGTTTCCTAATCTCCCAAAATGGAACTAAATAAGTGTATGGAGAGAACAATATATTGTGTTGCTATGAAAATAAAGGATGGGGATTGTGAGGGTACTGGAGGCTAACACATCTGGAAACAACAGTCCCAGGGCCATTCTCTTCCCAAACTTTATCACAGGCTACAAAAGCTTTGCATTTGCTTTCCCCTCAAACTCAGCATATCTGGAATTGAATTCATAATATTCTGTGCCCAAGAATACTCCCAATTTCTTTCATTCATTTCCCCCAAAAAAGCATTTACTATACTCTTCAAATGTCTAAGACATGCTTAGTAAAACTGTGGGAGAATCTAGACTGTAAGACACTTCTTGGGCCGGCCGAATGGCGCATTGGTTAAAAGCTGGCTTGGGATGCCAGCTCTGAGCAGCAGAGCCCCGGTTCGGATCCCATATGAGGGCGACACTGCCCTCTACAGCTAAGATGGCGAACAACAGCTCGACCTGAAGCTGGGCTGCCATGAGTCGCCAGCAACGGCGTAGGCTGCAGCCCCTGCTGCAGTAGGCTTCCATAAGCTACCATGTGTGGCCGGCAGCCAGCGTGAGCGGCCAGCAGCTGGTGTGAGCTGTCAAGAGCTGCTGTGAGTGGCCGTCCAGAAGCCGGTGACTGATCTGCCTCACCCTGGAAAAGCGCAATGATTATACCAACATGGGCCAGTGAAGCAATGACCTCCACTAGACTGAAGAACAAAAGGACAGCAACTTGTCTGTTCCCCTTCCCCGATTCCCCAACACTGTTCTCTTCCCCCAATTCCCCAATAAAATCTTTAAAAAACAAAAACAAAAACACTCCTTGATCTCATAGAATTTCCTTTAGCCCAAGAGATAAGATACAAACAAACAGCAAGGGTACTCCTACAAGACAGTATAAAATAAGTAGTGCTTCACAGATAATCATTCTCTCCAGCTTCTACCTTTGTTAAAGATGTATAACTATTAAAGGTTTGATTGTCTTCTCTCCCTTTAAATAAAAAAAATGTTGATGACAATGTTACCGAAAGGCTTGAGTAAGTAGAACAAGAGATAAGGACAACAAACACGGAAAAATATTGACCGTGGAAAAACCTACATCTGGATGATCTAAACTTGGATAATTAACAGCTGACCAAATATCCCAAAGAATGGAGGTCAATATTTAAAGCATTATCCTTTTAATTCAAATGTTAAAACCTCTTTTTGTCTTTAAAAGACTATTCTCTGCATTTATGATCAAATCGTAAGAAAGAAAGAATGGAGTGGAGGAAAAAAAGAAGGTGTAAGCAAGGCAATGCAGCTGATTCATTCCCTCCTTACCATATATGTCAGGATCCTTCCTTTCTCTGACTTATGCTGCATTATATTTCAGTATATAATTTCTTGAAATAGTGAATTCTGGAGCTTGCTGTCCTGATAGAAAATAGAAAAGTGGCATGCTATTAGAAAAATACACAATACTGAAGGTGCTAGCCAAGAATTTATTTACTCTCCACTATGAAAAGGCTTCCCCCTATTATATAAGGGGACCACAAAATTTAATGTCCAAAGAGAGACACTCTTTCAAGTGAAAAGGGTACTATTAATAATACACTGAGACAACAGGCATAAATTGGCATGCTCGCACGACAACCATCCAGACACAGGGTTACCTACTTACGTGCTCTAAGCAAGAATAAACCAAAACACTAAAATAAAGAAAAGTCCTTACCTTTTAAAAGTGTATACTGCAATATTTATAGAGGAAACAATTTATCTGGAAATAGCTTAAAAAATAAACAGGGTGAGGATGGTGAGCAGTGTTTGGAGATACAGATTAAGTAAGATTAGCCGTGAGCTAACTGTTGTTGATACTACTATGCTCTCTGATTTTACATGTTGGAAATTTTTCCTATTAAAAACTAAAAAATATATTGCATGGAGTCTAAACAAAATGTTTTTAAAAATCCATCTGGAGACTGACAATACTTAATCTAACATTATTGCTGGTGCTACCCACTTATATATAAACAGAGCTGGAGGTAGAAACAAATGTTCTATCGGAAACCAGTATTTCAACAATGATTCAAAAGAATTTATCCCCATCAGGTTCCATTTCTTTTACTGGAAAAAGGCAAAAGTGTCATGAATGTCCAGTAGCATGAGCTTTCTTTTGTAAACAGCTAATTAAATTATTTCAAGCACAAAAGAAAAAGAAAACCCTCAGAATATCTTCTATCATTCTCTGGAAAATGTCAATGAAGGTACTAAGATCTAGAAATGTCACTGAAACATTGAAAAGGAGCAATCCCCAGAGATTTTTTTACTCCAATACTATAAGACTTATTATTCCTCAGTCATCTGCCACAGCATTGAATGCCTAATGTGTCAGCCTGCCCCCTACAATGCATTCAACACTCAACAACCAGAAGCATCTTAACATGAATTAGAGGGGCAGCCGGTTAGCTCAGGTGGTTAGAGCGCAGGCTCATAACACCAAGGTTGCCAGTTCAATTCCCACGTAGGTCAAGGAGCTGCGCCCTCCACAACTAGACTGAAGACAACAACTTGACTTGGAGCCGATGGGTCCTGGAATAACACACTGTTTCCCAATAAAATTTCTTAAAAACAAAACAACATGAATTAGCCCATGCCTCTCCCCTCCTGAAGCCTTTCAATGGCTCTCCTTTCCGTTGTGCTGCCAGATCCTTCATAACCGGCTCCTGAACACCTAACTAACTTCATGTGCCATCACTGTTCCACTTGCTCACTCAGCTTTAGCTACACCTGCCTCCTTTCAATTCCTCCACAACACCACGCTCTCGACTGCCTCAGAACCTTTATACAATACTTGCTGTTCTTTTAGTCTCAAATGCTCTTCCTCCAACTCTTCTCTGGTTGATTCTTTCTCATCGTGCAGACCTTACCATTGATGTTCCCATTTAAAGTAGCCTTTCTAATCCCTTGACACTGTGAAGAAGAGACTTCTATGATGTGATCGCTATCTGTCCCGGAGCCGGACCTGGCCCCGAGTGGAGGTTACTTTCTGCAAACCCCACTTAGAAACTGATCGTGACTGATGTTCATTCTGACATAAATCAGCACCCCTCCCTTGCCTCCTGCTACGTGCTGGTTCCTTGAATAGGTCGTTGTGCTGACGTGGACAAGCATGTAAAGTAATTTCTGTACGTGGTAGCATTCCCGTGCTAGTACCAGTGATCCCCCCCACTCCACCCTATGTAATTCTTTGGCGCCTGCAAGCAGCTCGGGGATCCATTTCGTCTTGCACCTGCCCAAGTCATGCTTCGTATGTAAGTTTCCCTTAATAAACTCTATGAATTACTAGACTGGAGCAGCCAGTCTCTTTCTTCAATCTTTCCCTGACCTCCACTTTAGAGGTAGATTTTCAGTCCCGGGGATTTTTCCCTGGGTCTGCGTGTACTAACAGACACCTTCTGGCATCGACCTATTGATTCCCTTTACACTATCTTTCCATTTATTTGTTACCTACCTTCCCCTATCAAAACCTAGTCCTTAAGGGCAGAAGCCTTGTCGGCTTGGATTACTGCTGTATCACCAGTACCCAGCACAGTGTCTGGGACAGTGCAAGTGCTGTATAAGTAAGTATCTGTTAAATAAATGAATTATATCACTGATCACTTCCTCATTCTACAAACTCTCAATTTTCTCCCTGATTTCCCATGAAACCATCCTCTCTGGCATTACCCATTTTCCTGACTCATTCTCCGCTGTGTTTTGCTAGTCTTCCTCCTGCCTCACATAGAAAGCACTCCCCAGGGCTTTCAACACCATCTGGTAATGAATCCATTCACTGGAATGGCTTCAAGCCCCAAAGCTACTACTCTAACCTCAGCCTTTCTGCTTTTGTACTAGTAGGCCCAGTGTTTCCAACTCCCTAAAGGACACCTCTCCAAGGATACATCATGGTTACTTTGCGATTGCAAATGTTTCCTCCTTCCAGTAACTTTCAGTTCTGCCCATGAGGCTACACTCTTCCAATCTTACAAACTAGAAACAATGTGATATACAGGAAAGAGTACAGACCCCAGAGCTAGCCAGCCCTGGATCAAATCCCAGCTTTGAAAGCTATTAGATGGTCAATTAACCATTCTGAAATGCAGCTTCATCAATAAAAAGGCAACAACACTCATGTTCAGGATTGTTATAAAAATTAGAGACAGTAAATACAAAAATGCCTGTACAGCATCTGATATAGAGTAGGCTTTTTTATATGCCTGCCTATGTATATGTAATATACTATATATATTACATGTATATATTATATATAAGTTGTATGACCTAGCTCTTGAGTTTTGTCATTATTGGCTGATATTTTAGCTCCACTTGTTTTTATGTTCTCAATATTAGCCTTTATTATTTTTAATAGAATTCCTGCTTGCTTAGATTCACCCACATATTTAACCATTTCCTTACTCAGAATTCCACTCCTTTTTGCATTTATTCCCTTCCCTCTGGTTGTTTCCTTTTCCCTGACTTAGTTCCTTCAGTGGAAGTCCGTTGGTGGTAAACTGTTTTCATGTGAAAACAATTAATTTTATCCCTAAATCTTCAATAATGATCTAGCTGCGTGAACAATTCTAGGTGAACAATTCTTTTCCACCAACACTGAAGAATGTTCTGGGTTCCATCAGTGCTGTTGAGAAGTGACACATCAATCTATTGGGTTGCCAGAAGTCATGACACATTTTTGCAATGAAAAACAGAAAAAATACGTCATGACTTTTCCAACAACCCAATAATTATTGTACCTTGTGGATAATCTGACTTTTCATTCTGGTTATATTTAAGATCTTTTCATCTTTGGGGTTCTACATGTGTCTACATGTGGAATTTGGTGTGGGGGATGCTCAGGACTCATTGAACTTTCTGACTCTTAAGATTCATGTCTTTTACTAATCTAGAAAATTCTCAGCCATCATCTCTTTGAATATTGCCTGTCCCTCGTTTTCTTCTTTTGAACAATTAACTATAGATGACTAGGTGTCTGTCAGAACTCTTCTTTTCATTCTCCATGCCTTTAAACCTCTCTTTTATATTTTCTCTTTGTCCTTTGTGCTACCTTCAGGAAATTTCCTCAGATCTATCCAGTTTAGAGGTTACGAAATTTTTTCAGTAATGAGCCAGAGAGTAAATATTTTAGGTTTGGGGGGGGGGGTCACACACAACATATGTAGAACATTTTCTTTTGTCTTTAAATATATATATATTTATATTCATATATATATACACACACACACACACACACACACACATATATATATATATATATGAATAAAATTTCCTTTAAAAATGTGAAAACCATTTTTACCATGCAGGCTATACGAAAACAAGCCTCAACTCAGATTTACCCCACAAGCCACAGTTTGCCAACTCCTGATCTACTTCATTAATCTATCTTCTATGTCTAACCTGCAGTTTATCCTTCCTATTTGGTTTTAATTTCAGTAGCTATGTTGCATTTGCAGACGCTCTATTGGCTCTTTTTTTTTTATTTGCCTTATTTTTATGATAGCACCTATTCTTTCTCACGTTTTCTATTCCTTCTCTTCGTGTGTTTAGTTTGTTCTATTAGCTGATCCTTGCTCACAGAGAAATGGTGGATTGTTTCCTCACATGCTTTATAATTCTGTCTTGAGTTCATTTTTGGTAGTCTTATTTCTGGAAAATCCATGTGGTCTGGATTGAGGATATAGGCCTCTAAAACAGTTTCTGTTTTCCAGATACCTCTGTCACATTATCAGCCTTAGGCCACTTTTTATGTCAGTTTTCAACCTGGAGATTCCCCCAGACCCTACAGGTATTGTAAATTCGAACAATTTGTAAACGTGAACAAAATCCCTATGAAGGGAAACTTATGGTCATGAGTTCTCAATGGACATGCCTTTCACCAACCAATCCAGGATCCATGCTAAGAAAGACACCTCTGTGTGCTCACGGGCAGATTTTTTCTACTCTATCTACCGTATTTGCCGGCGTATAAGACGACTGGGCGTATAAGACGACCCCCTAACATTTCCACTCAAAATACAGAGTTTGTTATATACTCGCCGTATAAGACTACCCCCTCTTCCGCACACCTTCCACACACCAAATAAAAGGTAAAACAATATCAGATTTGATTTGGCCCACTGAAGTGCAAACAAGCGTACTGTATTTCGTGTCACCACATAACCGTTTTGGCGATGTTGAGCCACCATGTCTGCTACATGTTTTTCAAGTTCTGGCCAGTATGGGGTGCCTCTTCTTAATGCACACTTACCCCTTGGCATACTCTTTAATGCTTTCTCATTTGATTTCCAGTCCCGAACCATCTTTTCTGTTACTCCATATTGTCTTGCAGCAGCACAATTATTATTTTCCTTAGCAAAGTTTATAACTTTCAGTTTAAAATTTGCATCATACTTCTTTCTTTTGGCTGGTGCCATGATAGGGATGATAGGGGTTTGACTGGTCGACATTTTCTATGCTGTACTGTACAATGGTGCAGTATTGTGGTTGGCTGTTGGCTGTATACAAAGCCTGATTTGATTGGTCCCTGCTCCCTGTTTGCCCGCCCTGTCACTATAGCAGTCTGGTCCACCCTTGCATCAGCATCTCCCTGGGACCTCACTAGTGTGCAAGTGCGAGCTCTTCAACATTCTAACAGGCACCATGATAGCGCAAAATCGCAAATCTTCAATGCATATGTAAAGAAATATACGGTAACCCGAATTTACCACACTCGCAAAATCGCACACAGCCGACCATACACCCAGTATGGTATCGCGATTCGCGATTTTGCGCTATCATACTGGGTGTATGGGCGGCTGTGTGCGATTTTGCGAGTGTGGTAAAATCGCATAACAGCAAAATCGCATAACAGCCGAGCATACACCCAGCAGCGCTGCTGATGCCTGAACGGTATGTGGAATGAAGTGGGCGGGCATCGGGAGGCCACTATGGCACGGGGCAAGCACTATGGGCAGTCTATCTGAAGTGTACCTGGCGTATAAGACGACCCCCCACTTGGAGGCATATTTTTCAGGGCCAAAAAATCGTCTTATACGCCGGCAAATACGGTACTCCTTTAATGAACGTCCAACTCTCTGAAAACCCATAACCTTCTCTGGTGTCTCTGTTCTAACACTCACAGGCCCAAGGCTTTTTCTCTTGTCTCTGTGGACACTAATATGCAAGTTACTAAGACTGGCAAACAGCCTATGGGGCTGTCACATCAGGCTGCTCTTCAGATGCTTTTTCAATCCCCAACCTCCCCTGTCCTCACCCCACTTTATTTTAATGAAGATTTACCTTTCTTCCTTGAGAGCACAATATGCATTCTGTATGTAGCAGGGGATTTTTTATATTTATCTAGTCTGCTATTTTACCAAAACCACAGACCTCTTCCAGTCTTCTATGCATGAATAAACATACTTAAAAAGAGGGGATAGCTTGTGTTCTTGTTTGTAACCTTTTTTCCACTTATATCAAGAACAGTCTAACATCCCACATCATTAAACATTCTACTACATGATCATTAATAGTTGACTATCATCCCACAATACAGAAAGACCATAATTTAACCAATCCCCTTTTGTTAAGACATTTGTTTCCAACTTTTTATTATTGTAATCAATGTTATAACAACTATTCTTGCAGCTATCTTTGCACACATCCATGGTTATTTCCCTAGAAAGAACTTTTTAACATAAAATTGTGGGATCAGGGCAAGAATATCTTACCATTTTTTAAATTATTGTCTATTAGAATGATCCCTTATTCTCCCACCAGCAATACAGAAAGCATCCGTTTCCCAATAACTCACCAGTAATGGTGACAGAAGTGGTTATTACTCACCAAGTACCTCTCTGCTCCCCTACATTGATTGCTCTTTCTGCCTTACAGTTTGGTTGGAGCCATAAGGCTAGCTCTTGCCAAAGGGAATGTGAGTAGAAGTAATGTGTCATTTCCAGTACAAGGCAGGTAAGCACAGGTATGGACTCTTCTGCCTGCCCACCACCAGAGAGACTGAAAGCAAAAAACTCTAAAGCTTGGAGTGGCAAGATAGAAGCAATCCAGATCCCTGAGTCACCATTGGAGGAGAGCCATCCGACCCACACGGAACTGTGAAGTGAGATAGAAATAAACTTTTGTTAAATCACTAAGGTTTCTGAGTCGACAGTTGAGGTTAAGCATTAATTAACCAAATTAATCCAACTGGATGTCATTTTTTAAATATAATTTAGCTTTATTTCTAAAATTGCGTTTAAATATAATTTAATATTCTGACTAGAATTGAAATGCAGTAACTTAAATATGTTTTTAGTGTCTTCCTTGGAAAATATTAGGCTATTTCAGAAATCAAATTTGATGCCAAAAATTAATCTGTATCTGATCTCATTATTTTGGGAAGAATACTATCAAAACACACTAACATCCATTAGTTTGGAGAGTGATGATGGTGTATAGGAAAATAACCTAAAAACTATCAGCATGAAATACCATACCTTTGTATTTATTATGTTTATTATTATTAACACATCCACCATCCAAAACTGATTGAAAATTCTCTTTTTGCATATACACAGCAGGCACCTGTGTATAAGGATGTGCCCTTTAAATTAGCTAAGTATTTGGCCATTATCCTTGTTCAAAACAGGTCACCTCTGATGAATTTATGTAAAAACATACTTAATGTCATTTTTTAACTTGACAGTTTAATAGATCAAATGTCATTCTATTGTTTTAATTTACCCTCCTTTATTATTGGAGGTCAAACAATTTTTGTTCATTGAGTATCCGTATTTCTCTTTTCCCACATCACCAGTTCATGTGTTTTGCCAATTTTTCTATTTTTAAAACTGCTTTTTTATCACATTAGTTCCCCATTTATGTCATTCTTCTGCCTTACTTTCAAGATCCTCATAATCAAGGTTTGCTATACGCATCCACCCTACTTAAAATATGCCACACATGTTCAATTCATGACTCTTTCCAGCGCTGCCCCAAAGCACAGAACAAGACGCATCCAGTGGTGGTGGTCTTTCTCCAATTCCCCACACACACACACTCACTTCCACAACAGGCTCCCTGACAGATACTTGGAATGGCATTCCTCCTTTTTTCCATTTATCCACTTATTCTCTGGAGCTGTTTTTAAAAGTCTTACCTCTTCATAAAGTTTCCTCCAACTGCACTGGATTTTTTAACTTCCTAAACTCCCAATATCAGGGGATTCAGAACTTAACTGTTCTTAGTTTCATTTAAGTAATTTATTTCTCTCCAGCTGGATTAGAAACTCCTTATAGAAAGACACTATTTTTCTCAACACTTTTAAAATCCCTCTACAGAATACCAGAGTTCTGGGTACCACTGCTCAATTAACAATGATGGTTGAAAGTCTTAGTTTATATTTTCATTCTCAATCAAGTTCAAGATTTAGAACCTATGCAGTATTGGTTCAAGGAAAATACACATTGTAAAGTAAAAAGAGAATTTCATATTTAGCAGGATGCTTGAAGGCCACAGGTTGCGGCTAGACTGTCTGGCTCAGGACTCGGCACAGCTTTGAGAATTTAGATATTGTACATAATTTCCTCCTTATAGTGATGCTGAAAATCCCTACCTACCTCCAGGGTTATTGTGGAGATCAATATTATAGATGAAAAAATTTGTAAGACACAGCTAAAGCAGTGCTGAGAGGAAAATCTACGTGTGAAATGCTTACATTAGAAAAGATGGAAAGTCTCAAATCAATAACCCTATTCTGGGGTTATTGCAGTAGACACCCTACTTTATTTCTACTACAAGAACCCCACTCGAGGGTTATTGAGTATATAGCTCCTACTTCAGGAACCTTAAAAAAGAACAAAGTAAGCAGAAGGAAAGAAACAATAAAGAGCAGAAATCCATGAAATAAAAAACAGAAAAACTAAAGAGAAAAATCAGTAAAATAAACAAACCCACAAGACTGACATAAAGGGAAGGGAGAGGATAGATACAAATTACCAACATGGGGAGTGAAACAAAGGGATGTCTCTACAGTCGCTGCAGGTGGAGGGGTTCAGAAGAAGCCACCCCAAGATGTGCTTCTGTGGTAAGTGGAGTGTTTGGAGCTAAGGGCACTCCCTTTTAGCCTCAGACTCAAGAGAAACTTCTGCCCCTCCCTTCCCCACCTAGAAGAAAAATTAGGGGCCTTCTGCCCATAATAAGAGATTATCTGAAGATAACCTCTTTTAACCTGTCTACAGGGCAGGGCAAACTTCTATTTACTAAGCATTTCTTATCATCCTGCAATGACCCTTTGAAACCCCCCAGGCACCTTACCTCATCCCCAGCTCAGGATGTCTTATACACCCATGTTCCCCTTCTATCTCTGAACCTCTGGTGCATGTGGGGTCTCTGACTCTCTCATGTATGCAGGGTTCCCATACATATGTATGTATTAAATTTGGTTATTATTTCTTGTTAATCTGTCTCATGTCTATCTGAGTAGTAGACCCACCAAAAGAACCTTGACATTAAAGTTTGTTCCTCCCCAATACAGGCATCAAAAAGATAATAACAAAAGACTATGAACAATTCCACACATAAATATAACTTAGATGAAATGGACCAATTCCTTAAAAAACACAAACTACCACAATTTACCCAATATGAAATAGGTAATCAGGTCTATAAGTACTAAATAAATTGACTTCATATTTTAAAACTCCCAGAAATCTCCAGCCCCAGGTGCTTTCACTGGAGAATTCTACTAAATGTTTAAAGAATAAACACCTATTCTACACAATTACTTTCAGAGGAGGGAACATTTCCAAGTTCATTTTATGAGCCTAGCATTACCCGTATTCCAAAACCAGAAAGGACCGGGAAAAAAGGGCAAAAAAAAAAAAAAAAAAGCCTACAGACAAGTATCTCTCATGTATATAGGCACAAAAATGCGTAACAAAATATTAGTGAACAGAATTCAGTAACATATAAAAAGTATTAGATTACGATGCATTTAAGTAGGAAAGTGTTCATTTAAGTAGGGAAGTATTTTAATATAGAAGCATGGAAATTCTCTCCATTTATTCATACCTTCCTTTATTCCTCCTATCAAAGTGTTCTGTCATTCTCTCACCCACCCCATATTACCTATTAATGTGTATTTTACATTTTTCACTCATCCATTCTCCTGGGTTCTCCATCCCAACAGCCCTTTCTCTGGTTCCTTCCACCACTCCTTAAATACAGTTGTTCTTCATGGGTTTGTCCTTTGTCCTCTTTCTCTGTCTTCACTTACTTGAGTTTGCCAATGAGCTTCAATCAGCCCCCTAACTGGATGACTCTCTCACTTGACCAGCCTCCTGATACATCTTTCCAATGGCGAGCCACACAGACATCCACTCCTTAATGTTCCAATGGCAGCAAAGATACATCTCCTAAGAGTACAAGGAGGTTTACTGCCTTCTCCCAGCAAAGAGGGAAACAAAATTCAAAATACTTGCACACAGAGATTCATCTTTCAGATCATGGTCAGTGCCCTATGTTTTCCCTAATCAAAATGTTTGCTTATAAATGGCAAGTAGAATTCTTGATCTGCTAACCACTCACGTAAGAGCTTGAAACAAGCTGCGTTCCTAGAAAGTTAACATGGTAAATAATCCGAAGTCTCGAGTGGTGAGTGAGAAGGTAGTTGGGGTGGAGTCCCAATTCGGAATTCTACAGACACTGATGCTCTCCCTTCATCTTCTCACTCCTACCAGCACCCTCTCTTATCTCCTCTTCTTGGCAGAGCCTTCTCTTCAAACATTCCTTATCACAATGGCAAAAACTCTTTATCACAGGAACATTACCTGTGATCAGGAATTTGCTTTCAAGGGTTTGTTGCTATAACAACCATCCTACTGAGTTTTCTTCTCTTAAAACTAAAACACTCTGATATGTTGAAACTTCCTATTGTGGATTTGGGGTACCTCTCTGTTTATTCAAGCCTCCTTTAATGCCTTTGAATAAAGTTGTATTCTTTTCTTCATACAAAAACAAAACAAAACTGAACTAAAGTAAAACACGCCAGGAAAGAGAGAAAGAAAGCAGAAGGGAAGAAATAAGGGAACTGCTCTTTCCATCTGGGCTGCTATTATGCATTACATCTGAAAAGTATGAAGGGAAAATGGGGCAAGAAAGAGAGAAGCGAGACACTTTCCAGATGTTCCCAAATGAAACCAACTGACTTTAATATTTTAAATAATTATGATAATAGCTAACATTTATTGAATTTTTACTGTGTGCCAGATTAAACCTATTATGTACTGTAACATAGTTAATCTTCACAGCAATCCTATGAAGTAGGTACTATACTATTATTCCCATTTTGTACATGAGAAATCAAAGCACAGAGCTTAGGTAATTTGCCCAAGGTCATCCATATTGAGTAAAACTGGGATTCAAATCAAACCAACTGGAACTCTAAGGCTCACACTTTCAATGTCATAATCATTATGGTAAACAGCCTGTGATATTAACTCAAGGAACACAGTGCACACACACATCATGCATAAACTACTTGTCAATTACCCATATTACTACTGCTCCACTGTAACCATGGACAATGATTAATTATAATTAAAACACACGGTAATTCTACTCCAGAACCTAAAGTCACTTTTATATTCTTAAAGTATTTATCTGTGTGGACGAAAAAGGGGCCATATACTAAACCTGACAAGCTCAGGGGAGGCCAGCATGGGGGCCTTACAAACTCAGAGAACGAAAGTAACCACACAGGATGGTCTGAACATAATTCCTAATTAAAAGCTGGTCAAGGTGGGTAGGCACATCCTTGGCCTGTAGCTTCCTTGACAAAGGTAAATCTTTACCTTAAGTGAGCCTGTCTATTGTCTTTTTGCATCTAAGATAACATATCTTTGAGTGGTCTGAGTAATCTTTTCCAGACCCCTTAAGGCACAACTGCAACAGAGGACTAGACCAGAGAAGCCCTCAATGTTATCTTGTTCCTCACATACCAGCTCTATGTGCTGTAAATGTTATTAACCATCCTGTACCCACCAATGTAAAAGAAGTATATGTCTATCTTACTTTTTATCCAATCCAAGAGATTTCCCCACTTGGCTTTCTTC